TACTCTGAAGCTACAGCGCTTTAATTCATCCTCATTCAAACAGTAAGTTACTTTAATTTTTTGAAGAGAAACATGAAAACCCCTAAACATAATGTGTTTTAACACCGTAACATGCAAATGAGTCATATATGAAATAGAACCTCCCAAGGCTATACAGTTAATTCTTAATTTTACATAGTAATGAATTATTCCAAAATAATGACTATATTCTTTTACTTCCCTGTATACCCTCATTTGAGTTTTCTTTGCCTGAGCCTCTTCCCTGTCTTACACAGAAGTCACAGGGAGATCTCATTCACACTCATATTTTCAAGGACCACTTATTTGTTAATGATCCCATTTATCTATTTACAAATCTATATTTACAACTGCCTACTGGCGATTTCTCCTTGAATCTGTCATCCTGTGCTCCAAAACAAACCGACCATTTATGCTACCCGCCCCCGCCCCCACCACAACCTTTCCCCTTCTAAAAAAAAAAAACACTTTATGTTTCTCAATTTTGGATTATGGTATTGGCACCATGATGGCACTCTGATCTCCCTGGTTATCCAAGCTGGACAACCTGCGAAACATCCACCTCTCCTTCTACTCAGGGCTCTCATCCAACCAATCTTCAAATCCGATTTTTCAGCTATAGGCTGTTTAAGGTAGTAGTAGGTTAAACCTTAAGATATTACTATTTCTATGGATGAAAAAAATATTGGCAATTTCATATGGTCAACCTAAGAAAAAACATACGAAGCGAGCAAATAATCAAGATTAACCACATTTTTAATCTTTTCTGTTAGATTCACAAAAGGAAGGTTTACCTTAATTAGCATTCTAGATCTCACCAGGCTAAGGAATACTACAGTGAGGGCTGGGGAAGTGAATCAAGCCTTTCTTATATAGCTAGTAAAAACCTAATGGAAAAAATATAAAAAGGGAGGAGTAGCAAAGAGCACTAAAGCAAAACGTAGGGGAGAGAAATGAGAAGAGAAGAGAAAGGAAGGGATAAAGGCAAGTTACTGCTGCTACCTTTTGAATCACACAGGTGGAACACTGCAGTCCTTATCCTTCCCAAGACAGCAATGAGACAAAAAGGCGTCCAGATAAAGGAAAGGTTTAGTGAAGTATTTGGCTAAAACAAATTTTTCTTTATTAAAAAAAAAAAAGGTTTTATCGTTGAGTTAGAGGATGTAACAGGCAACCATCACTTTAAACTTGAGTCTAACAGTTCTGGGAATGGAGGTAGAACAATTACTAATATCTCATCTTGACCCACAATTCCTTCAACAGCCACCTCGTTCAGCCCAGGAAATAGAATCGTGGAGCCATCACTGTTGTTGGAGCTCTTGAGACGCAGAATTCTCATAGCTGAATATAATGCAGTAGCTGGAAGCCATGTTTAGAAAGACACTCCAATAGCAGGGAACCCTCAAGTGGGGTCAGAATATTAAATTCTTGATGAACTGTCATCCTGCAACATCTTAGGTGGGAAAAGCCGATGAATCTCTGATCTGGACAGTCTGTCCTTAGATAATTAAGAGTTGACTACTTAATAACAAAATCACTAAACTTAAGTATGAACTCCCCTTGTGGCTTTTGCAGAGTGAAATGCAGAGGCCCAGCAAATGTCTCAAGTGTAGGGAGAAGCTTAATGGGAAAGGTCATTCAGAAATGGGCTCCAATAACTTCATAATCCACACTTAGAATTTAACTACAATAATGCTACCACATCTATCAAACTGCACTAGGAAAATTGAGCCTCACAGAGAAGATAATCATAATTTGAGTTCAACAAATGCTAGACTATGTGCTAGAGATGTACATCTAGCCTTTTAATCCTTAATCATTTAATCCTATGAGATAGGTATTATTATTGCCACTTTACAGAAGAAATTGAACTCTGAAATACTAAGTAACTTGTCCATGCTCTCATAGCTACTAAGTGAGAGTACAGAGAAAGTTTGGCTTGAAATCCAAGTGGTATTTCAATACTGTGTTATTGCCTGTCTATGTATGTAAGTACTGAAGTGTCAACTTTAATTAAGGAATATGCCTATTAGCTCTGAGGTGAGGAATTACATATTGATTCTACATGTTAGCAGAAAAGGAGCAGTATGATTCAAAAACCACACCAACCTAGAAAATGTCACAGTAAACAACCATCATTTACCTTTTATTTTTCTTGTGTCCCAATGGTTAAGCGTTTGGCTGCTAACTAAAAGGTTGGTGGTTCGAACCTACCTAGTGACTCTGTGGGAGAAAGACAATCTGCTCCCCTGTGATGGTTAAGGCTGTGTCAACTTGGCTGGGCCATGATTCCCAGTGATTTGGTGGTTATGTAATGATGTAGTCATCCTCCATGATGTGATCTGATGCGATCAGCCAATCAGTTCTAAGGGGAGCTTCCTCAGGAGTGTGGACTGCATCACACACACACACACACACACACACACACACACACACACTTCACTGGTTTTACTTTTCTAGAGAACCTAGCCCAAGATATCCCCGTAAAGATTACAGCCTAGAAAACCCTATGGGGCAGTTCCACTCTTTGGGGGTTGCTATGAGTTGAAATTGACATGGTAGCACACAACAACAACAACAACAAAAGAGAACTGTGAAAAAACAACCCCATGTACCGATCATCCAGCATGAACATTACACTCTCCAAGTTATTCACAGGGACAGAGGAGTCAGTTATACATCATATTTTATTTGAAGGGCAATTAAGAAACTCTAGTGGACAGTGTGACTGAACCCCTCAAATTCATTCCCCTGCCACCAGCCCTGTGTGGCATTAACATGGGGTCAGGACTTGACCCCAGTTCCAAAGGTAAATCCTGATTAGTCTAAACCAACATGGTAATTCTATCCCTTTTACCAGTAATTGGTTCACGAACCTAAAATTTTACCAATCTGTGCTTGTATTCCCCTGCCAACTACAACTGTCCAGATGTGGAACACTAACACTAAAGTGGATCCAATTCAACTGATGCAAAAAACTTTTATAAGATTTTACATTTTACATTCCCTGATTTTTAAGTCAGTTTGCAGCAGAACTTTTGTTATATGCCGCCAGAAGCCTCCAAACTAATTAAAAACAATCAAAGTTCTGGGTGTAGGTGGTCCCTAAAAAGAGAGATTTAGGGAACATAGTTAGAAAAGTCAAATTTCACTCATATTGAAGAGAAGGACTTTTCTTGCTTTTACTTTTGTTGCTCTCCTCCTCCCTACCTTTTAAGGTGTTTTTGTTCAAAAATAAAAGGGAAAAATGGCATACACATAGGAACTGGGAGAAGGCTTTGTAAAAAATCTGTGCTTGGTAATAATGGTAGGATCCCTGATTCTAACGTCATCACCAAAATTAACGAAAACCAACCAATCACTGGGATGACACAATATATAAAAACTTAACATATAACTCCATTTGGTAGGTTTCTATATACTTAAAAAATTATATCTATATTTTTGAATATCTAATACTGTCATAATTCAAAATTCAAAAAAGGTTCCAAAACTACTGTCTTGGAACATCCTTCTCCTTAAGCCCCTTTCCTCTCCTAAAAAAATAAAAACCAAATCTGTTGCCATCAAGTCAATTCCGACTCATAGCGACCCTATAGGACAGAGTAGAACTGGCCCATGGAGTTGCCAAGGAGCGCCTGGTGGATTCAAACTGCTGACCTTTCGGTGAGCAGCCGTAGCGCTTAACCACTGTGCCCTACCAAGGTTTCCGTTTCCTCTCCTAGGAGGCAACAAATGTTACCAGTTTTTTATGTGTACTTTCAAAGACTGCAAGATTGCCAATGTGGAGTTTAAGGTAAACAATGAAAGTGAAATATTTTTGGGTTATCAAAAAACTGTCAATATGGTAAAATAAAAAAAAGCAATAGGCTAACTTTGGTGAAGGGTAAGACACTGCACAATACTGGGGAAGCCAGCACAACTTGTACAAGGCAAGGTCATGGAAGCTACATAGACACATCCAAACTTTCTGAGGGACTGAACTACTGGGCTAAGGGCTGTGGGGACCATGGACTTGGGGAACATCTAGCTCAACTGGTATAACATAGTTTGTAAAGAAAATGTTCTACATTCTACTTTGGTGAGTAGTGTCCGGGGTCTTAAAAGCCTGTGAGCAGCCATCTAAGATACTCCACTGGTCTCACCCTATCAGGTGCAAGGAATAATGAAGAAAACCAAAGACACAAGGGGAAGATTAGTCCAAAGGACTAACGGACCACAGCTACCACAGCCTCCATCAGACTGAGTCCGGTATAACTAGACGGTGCCCAGCTACCACCACTGACTGCTCTGACAAGGATCACAACAGAGGGTCCCAGACAGAGCTGGAGAAAAACATAGAACAAAATTCTAACTCACTAAAAAAGACCAGACTTACTGGCCTGACAGAGACTGGAGAAACCCGGAGAGTATGGCCCCCCGACAACATTTCAGCTCATTAATGAAATCACTCCTGAGGTTTACCTTTCAGCCAAAGATCAGACAGACCCATAAAACAAAATGAGACTAAAGGGGCACACCAGCCCAGGGGCAAGGACTAGAAGGCTGGAGGGGACAGTAAAGCTGGTAATAGGGAACACAAGGTCAAGAAGGGAGAGTGTTGACATGTCGCAGGGTTGTTAACCAATGTAATAAAAACAATATGTGTACTGTTTAATGAGAAGCTAGTTTGTTCTGTAAACCTTCATCTAAAGTATAATTAAAAAAAAAAAAAGGAATAGGCTTAAGAAGCAAAAACCCTAATTTCTAACTCTTGTTCTACCACTAACTAGCAAAGTCTTCTTGGTACATATAATCTAACTGCTCTAAGTCTCAGCTTCCTCACCTATAAAAAGGGGATTAAAAAACAAAAACAAAAGATGCATGCAACACTGAGTGCCTATTATGCTAAATGCTGGAGATTCTGATATAAAACTGGCTTTTTGTCTTCAAGGAACTGGGAGACAGACAAGTAAGCAATTACAATGTAAGGTGACAGGTACCAGAACACAGTTGATCACAGGATGATGGGATGACACTGGAACACAGAGCCGAAGTATGTAGAAGGCACAATCCTTGGCATAAAGAAAATAAGCAATAAATATTAATTTACTTTCTTATTAATTTTCATTTGTTTTGCCTTATTAATTTTATTTTGCCTTTACATTTAAAAAACTAATTCTTACAGCTGTTAAAAATTTAAGCAGTCTCATTTTCATATTAACAACTATTTTAAAAAAATCAGCATGCAAAATAGCATGAACACAAATATAAAAATATAACTGTCAAATCTGAGTAAACTAATAATGTAACAAATTGAGTTGGTGCTTTCTGAAGATTTTTTTTCATTTTATAAGTACACCACTAAAGAGCACATGAACTTCAATATGTTTCAAAAGAGGATATTCTAAAAAGTATACACAGATACTCTTACCCCAGGAGGTGAAGCTTAATTCTCCCCTTGAACATGAGCTGGATTTAGCGACCGGCCTTCAAAGAATAGAATGTGGGAAGAGTAAACAATAGTAACTTGACAGTGCAGAAACCTGAAAGACAGCGGCTTAACCAAGTGATCAAGGTTAACATCACTAGTGATAAATCATGTTGATACCATTTGCCTGCTGGTGTGACGTGATGTGAAGGGCACTTCACCTCTGTGGTATTCTTTCCTAAAATCCATAACCCCAATTTAATCATAAGAAAACATCAGAAAAACCCAAATTGAAGGTCATTTACAAAATAACTGGCCAGTACTCTTCAAACGTTTCAAGGTCATGAAAACAAGGCAAAACTGAGAAACTCTCACAAATCAGAGGAGACTAAGGAGAAATTGAAACTAAATGCAAGGTGGTATCCTGGAACAGAAAAAGGACATTAGTGAAAAAACTGGTAAAACCTGAATAAACTCTGTAGTTAACAGTATCGTACCAATGTTAATTTCTTAGTTTTGACAAATTGACAAACATACCATGGTTAGGTTAACATTAGGGTTGTTGTTGATGCTAGGTGTCTTTGAGTCAGTTCTGACTCACAGTGACCCTATGTACAACAGAATGAAACACTGCCCAGTCCTGCGCCAGCCTCACAATTGTTATTATGTTTGAGCACATTGTTGCAGCCACTGTGTCAGCTCATCTCATTAAGCATCTTCCTCTTTTTCACTAACCCTCTATTTTATCAAGCATGAAGTCCTCTCCAGGGACTGGCCCCTCCTGATAACATGTCCAAAGTACGTGAGACAAAACCTCACCATCCTTGCTTCTAAGGAGCATTCTGGCTGTACTTCTTCCAGGACAGATTTGCTCATTCTTCTGGCAGTCCATGATATATTCAACATTCTTTGTCAATACCATACTTCAAAGGCATCAATTCTTCTTCAGTCTTCCTTATTCATTGTTGTCATGGATTAAATTATGTACCCCCAAAAATGTGTGTATCAGTTTGGCTGGGCCATGATTCCTGGTACTGTGTGATTTTCCTATATGTTGTAAATCCTGCCTCTATGATGTTAATGAGGGAGGATGGGTGGTAGTTGTGTTAGTAAGGCAGCACTCAATCTATAAGACTGGATTGTGTCCTGAGGCAATCTCTTCTGATATAAAAGAGAGAAGG